CAGACCTGTGATGATTTGTGGGGAGCCCCTCTCCCCTTAACCCCACACGATGCCTGTATTCTAGCAACCTAGGCCTCAGAGCAATACACACAGCTGCTAACCACAAGGTTACAGCCTTGAGTCCACCGCCAGGTGCCTCCAAAGAGTGACTTGGTGTTCTACTGCTGTAAAGCCCATTATTGAAAGCCCTTTGGCCCACAGTTCAACACTGGCCCACCCAGGGTTGCCATGAGTCAAGGTAGACTTGACGGCTATGTCAGCTGCAGCCTGGGATGGGGATCATGTAGGGACTCTAGTCCCAGCCGGGCCTGAATGCCCCTGGGCACCCGTGGCTGCCAGCAGGAGAACTCTGAAGGCTTGGGGTTCTTTTCCTCAACACCAGCCTCCCCTGCCCTGGAAGGGGAGAGAACCCAGGACTGTAGGGGTGACCTGCTGGCAGATGGAAGCAGGACTAGGCCTACCTGACTCTGTCCTCCCATCCACAGTCTCCGGGGCTTGCTCAGAGGCACTGGAGCCCTTGGGGATGGGCTGGTGGCTGAAGAGGTCATCACACAGGAGACTTCTGCACAGCTTGGCCAGGAAGCGAAGGACATACCCGATGCTGTTGACCACGGGCAGACTCCGCAGGTGCTGTTTCCCATCGAAGGAGGCCGAGACTGGAAAACCACAGACACAGCCACTGAGAACTGGGCTCGGGGAAACCGGCCACCAGCCAGCCCCGGGGAGGCGGGCGTGGTTCGTGTTGGTGTGTTCTTAGACAGGCTCGCTTTGCAGTCCCTGCGTGGTACAAGCAGTTAACAGGCTCAGTCCCTAACCAAAATGTTGGAGGCTGGAGTCTATCCAGAGGTACCTCCAAAGGGAATCCTGGTGATCGTCTTAGCAAAAAACCCCAATCAGCCTTTGAAAACCCTATAGACCCTACACATGGGGTCATCCTGAGTCATAATGGCAACTGGGCTTTATTTTCGCTTCACTCTTTTTTTCCCTCACTAGTGTCTCGTTTGTTTTCATGAATATATAAATTAATATACCTATACACTCGAGTATAAGTCGAGTTTTTCAGCACAATTTTAATGTAGTTTTGTGGTAAAATTAGGTTCCTCAGTTGGTATTCAAGTCGGCTTATCTCGAGTATATACGGTATGTTATTTCCAGGATCCAAAGCAGTGGATTGCATTGCATGAAGTCATAATGCCTCCTTAGTGCACTCTGGACAGTTTGGGGGTCTTTCTGTGTTTTCCTGTCTGGACTGTTTCGAAGGGCAGTCAGGTCTTTTTGGAAATGCCTAAAGTCCTTTAAGTTGCTCGGATGGTGTTCTCACGATTAAGTTGGGGCTGTGAGTTTGGAGGAAGACAATGATAGAAGTGAATGGCCTTGCTCATTGTCATATGGCAGCAGTTACATGATATCTACATGACTTATCACCGTGAAGCTAACCCCGATTGATTGGCCAACGTGGTGCCTGCCAGGTATCTCCACTGTGTGAGATGGTGATGGGGGCATTAAGCTCCAGGGTGGTGGGGACATTAAGCTCCAACTCTTGCAGAGGGGAGAGTCTACAAGTTACTTGGCATTCTTCTAGAAGGAAGGTTAGTCCCCCCTCCCCCAGGGATTTATGTACTCAATGACTTGTTTATATCAGAATAAACATAATTCTATTCTGTGCTATGGGTAATGCGACATACTATTTGTTTTGCTGTGTCAATAGCTCCGGCTTTGATCTCTGGGATCTTTCTCAGGCTGACTCCCAACTCGTGTATGATTGATCACCACGTTTTCTAGACCCGCTTTGCTTTGGCCACTACAACAGTCTTCAGGTTCATCTTGCATATTCCTTGCCCCAACTCTAGAACCAGCCATTTCTCCAATGAGCCTTCATTGCTATGACTAAAGAATGACATTGAGAAGGAAAGTAGCATCCAAAACATGGACCCTGGGGGACTGATTGCTACTGCACTGCCTTTAGTTCTTAGTGCTTTCGGCTAAGAGCTAAGGAACACGTCTCTGTGCGCTGCTGCAGCTCGGCACCGTTGACTTGCTTCAGACGCACAATGACTCTGTATGATAAAGCAGAGCTGATGGGCTTTCTTGATTATTGCCTTTTTTGGAAGCAGGTCTTTTTGGAAGCAGGAATCAGATCAGCAGGTATATTGAATTCAAACCACCAACCTTTTGGCTAGCAGACAAACAGCCATCTGTGCCACCAAGGTCCCTTATATCTGTAACCCAACCCATTAATAGTTTATCTATCTATCTATCTAGTGTCTATTTAAATAAACATGAGTTCATATTGATGGCTCCAACTCTAGTCTTGTCACCATAGGGTCCACTTTTAGCTTCCGAGGGTGAGTTTTTATAAAGGAGAATTCTTCTGGACCTCGGATTACCAGAATTTAGAACAGACGCACTGGTTCCTTTTTGCAGTTCTCACAGTCCATGTGGTTGCACACTACCTTCATCAAGAGAAGACACACTAAAGCCAAACTCAGCACCATGGAGTCGACGCCGACTCATACTGACCCTAGAGGTTGGGGTAGAACCACTACCCATGTGGGTTTCTGAAACTGTAACTGGGGATAGAAAACCTCATCTTTCTCCCAGGAGCAGTTGGTGGTTTTGAACTATTGACCTTGTAGTTAGTGGCCCAACTTGTAACCACTACGCCCGCCACCTGGGCTCTGGACACACAGGAGACAAAGAGACACCAAAGAGGACATTCTGATTCCTGCTTCGGTCTCTGCCACTCAGGTGTCAACAACTATGGTAGCAGCCTCATTTACATTACATCCCGCAAAGGCTGGTAGAGGCCGGGGCAGGGGTCTATCATTTGTTTTGATTGCAGAATGCTAGGGGAAAGGCCCATTCCAATAAGTCCAAACAATTCTCTTCACTTGTGTGGGCTTTCTATTTTGACAAGCGCTGCCACACTTGTGGTCTCCTTAAGTGCTTCCACCAGTCCTGTGAGGACAGTAAGCCACAGGTTATCACCCCACGTCACAGTTGAGGAACTGCAGTGAGGACCTGGGTGGTTTTCCATGTCCCATGGCCTCTCATGGCACTTGCCTGTCATTTTTAATACACCCTGATTGGGAGAGCTAGCCAAAGAGTGACCAAGAGGCTCCCTGGGGAGGTTAGGTTGTCCTGCCCAAGCACACGGTGGAGACTTCCTTTTAGTGAGGGCACTGCCGTTGGCATCCAGTGTATGTAGTCCCGGCTGATGATGCATTTTAGTTATCATCAACCGCACCTGGGACCCTCTGGGCTGTTGGTTTGGTTTTGATTGTCCATGTTATCATTGGCTCACCTTCCTGAGGGAGCCCTGGTGGGTTATGCAGTGGCCTGCTAACCACAAGGCCAGCAGTCCAAAACCACCAGCTGCCAGGAGAAAGAGGGGGCTTTCTGTTCTCGTCAGACTGACAGCCTCAGAAACCGCCAGGGCCATTCTACTGTCCTATAAGGTCACCATGACTCAGAATGGACTCAAGAGCAGTGGGTTTGACTTCATTGGGTTTGACGCCTTCCTGGGAGGAAGTTACACAGAAATGCATGCAGAAGATACTGGGGAAAAGTAGCAAGTTACGTGAACACATGACAGGCATTTGATCAGGATAATATGATGTGAGCGGTGAGAGAGAAATCATCCCTGCAGCAACATGCTGGGATTAGAACGGACCGTGCTGATGTGCGTCAGCTCCCAGACCAGGAAATGGGGAACTGAGAAATCCGGACTTGATGGATTTGAACAGGAAAGAAATCACGAGGAATCTAGAAATGGCAGGATTAGCTGGAGTATGTTCAAAACGAAGTCAGCAACACCAGGTGCTTGAGAACATAGATCCAGACGCCGGTTGCTTTACTTAAGCTTACAGGCAGATTTGAAAAGTGGTAAAGTGGTACTGTGAACTATGAGAAGAAAAGCACCGGAGACCATTGGCTCCGCTCCCCTCTCCCTTAGAAATCCTATCTCTATGCCTACTGATAATCCGGATGATCCAAAACTTCCCACAGGCGAAGTTATTACAGCAATTGAAAAACGTCAACTGTGCCCAATTCGTCTTCATTGTCAAGAGTACATTTGTGTGATGTGTGCACTTCTATGTAAGCATGTATGTATCAAAAATGCACATGTAAGTTTATGTGGAATGCTTCTATTATACATTGGCACCTATTATACATGGAAGTCAAAATAAAAAATGTTAAAGGAATGAGTCAACTCATCAGAAAACTTTACAATGGAGTGGCAGCAATAGATAAGTAAATTCGCAGACCCTCCTGGGGCATCAGGCTGGTTCCCTAAATGACTGCACATGCTCAAGGTGCCTGGGAGATCACAAAGTGGGAAAAGCCCACCACTTAAAGGGCATGGGATTCGTGAGATCCTAAAATGGTTCCCCCGGCAGGGTGAGGCAAGGCAGAACATCCCCAAAGGTGGGTGGGAAAGGGTTAAAAGTTCCATGATACTCTGATAGGCTCCCTTCCACCCCTGGGCGCTCAGAGATTCATAAAAGCCTTCTCCAGCCTGGACACTTTTCTCCCTGGACACCACAGTGGTGGCACCAAAGTGACCCTTTCTGTGCTTTGTGGCATGGGAACAATTGGCAAGCCCGGCCTCGGGGAACAGGGTCTAAGTGGAAAGTGGGTGTCTGAACTATTCCTCCCGAAGCTACTCCCCCCCCCCACCAAACCATGCTGTGGGGTCGGTCGCATAAAGCACCTCGCGTCCCGGAGGAGGAGGCAGGGCGGCCTTCGCACCCGCTCGGCTGGGCGCTGGCCCTTGTGGAAGTCCCTCGGCCGAGGGAAGCATGGTGCGGCTGTGCTCCACTCTTGTTTGGTGCCAAACTCTGCAGAATGCCTGGCGACTGCCAAGGGCCCCAAGGCCACAGCAGGGAATTGAGGTCCACTGTCCCAGCTGCGGGGACCAATAATGAGAGTAGCCATACCAGGAGGGGAGAAAGGGGCAACCATCACAATGATCGACATAGAACCCTCTCCCAGGGGGACGCACAACAGAAAAGTGAGTGAAGGGAGACAGTGGTCCGTGCAAGAATGAAAAAGATTTTTATAAATGATCAAGGGTTCATGAGGAAGGGAGGAAATGAGCTGGTACCAAGGGCTCAAGTAGAAAGCAAATGTTTTGAACATGATGATGGCAACAAATGTACAAATGTGCTTGACACAATGGATGGATGGATTGTGATAAGAGCTGTAAGAGACCCCAATAAAATGATTTTTTTTAAAGATCAAAAAGTTGATAATAAATGAAAAGTCAACTGAAAATGAAACAACATAGTGACAGCAGGCTGCACTGAAGGGGACGGACACGCCGGAAGGGAGGTGCTGTCTCTGAGCTCCATACCTATGACTTAAACCGTTCTGTGAGGCCAGGGAATCAGTCCTTGGTCCCAGGTAGAAGCCGGATCGGGAGCCCGGCTCTCAGAGGGAAACCTGAAGTGCCACCAAAGGGCTCTCACAGGGTCTGGCGACAGGATTCTCCTGCCCTCTCTTGGTCCTCTACTTCTTCCTCCTGGCCATCGCCTTGTCTCTGTTGGCATCTTCTGAGGCCTCTTAAAAATCACCGCAGGTCAGGAACCTGGGCCTAGGGCTAGCCAAGTTCTGTTCTAACCCATTACCAGCGCGTCAGAAGCAGGGTCCTGTTCAGAGGGATTGCTAGATGAGCAAGGTCCAGCAGAGCTTGGGAAGCTGTGCTGAACACTCTCTCCATCGCCCAAGCCTTGGACACCTGGAGGTAAAGAAGAAACCCCTGCTTTGGCTCTTCTGGACAGGCAACTCCCACCCTGCCACGCGTGCCTGCCTATTTTCTTAGCCGAAAGGGTCTCCTTCGCTGACCTATTGCTGGTGATTCTCCTCCCTTTTCCCTGGTGTCATGGGGATGTGTCACGGATGCTGGGCCACAGAGGACACTCTGCTAGAGTTGAGGCCTCTCGGAAGGTCCTGGACTTGCAGGGCACGAGGGCAGGTGCAGCGCCCCTTCTGCAGACAGCCTGCACAGGCCCCTGCAGGCAAGCATCTGAAGAGAGCGTGCTTCTGAGTCTACCCTTGTCGATGGGTGTCAACCTCAACATCTACTTCGACTCCTGCCAAATTGGAGAACTGATGGGAGAATGGAGATTTTCTTCTTCTTCTTCTTCTGATCCTAAGCTCTTATTTAAAAGTAAACAAACAATAAACACACACCCTTGTAAGGTAGCATGAAGGCCGGAGCTTTCTCCATGTGTGGCGATCAAAACCAAGCCCTAAACTCACTGCCATCGAGTCGATGCCAAATCACAGTGACCCTGTAGGATAGGGTAGAATTATCCCCCTGAGTTTCTGAGACTGTCACTCTATGGGAGTAGACAACCCCATCCTTCTCCCACAGAGAGGCTGGTGGTTTCAGGCAACCACCTGGCAGTTAGCAGCCCCATGCCTGTCCACGATGCCATCAGGGCTCCTTATGCAGGGTGATTCTTGCGCTACGAAAGCAGGACGGGAGTAGAGTGAGAGAGGATAGAGGGTGGCAGGGACTGAGAGTCTAAACAGGACACTAGGGAAAGGGCTCTGATAAGTGGCTTTCGAGAAGGAACCTCAAGGAAGTATGGGAGCAAATCAGGTAGACATACAGGGAAGAGCTTCCAGGCAGAGAGAATGACAATGTAAAGAACCCGAGTCAGGAGCATGAGCCGAGGACACACACGAACAGCAAGGAGCCCCTGCACCACAGCCGAAGCGAAGGACTGGGAAAGACTGAAGAGGTCACCTGGCAGGGACTTGGGCTTTGCTCCTAAGTGAGAGAAGGCTATGAAAGATGTTGACTGAGACGGGGCAGGATGTGCATGAGATTTCTGAAGAACCAAGAGAGTTGGTACGGGTAAGGAAATGTGGTTGGATTCTGGATCTATTTGAAAGGTAGAATAGCATTTCCTGATGGGTTGGATATAGTGGGGATGTGGTAGTTACATAATTTCATGTCAATTTGTTAAATAGGTAATAGGGGTGGAGTCTGGTCTGTCGATCGGGTCATAGCCAATCATGCCTCTGTGTGGGCATGGCCTTTTCCCGAGGATTCTGGGAACTCTGTCTTCCTCCCTGGAGGTGGGTCACACACACTCTCTCTCTGCTACACATTCTTGTTGACAAGCAAATGGAGCTATGCTGATGGAGCCAGAGCCCTGGAGCTAAAGGAGCCACATGGAGAGCCCTGCCAGCGCTGAGATGCTTCCACTGCCACTGGATCCACAAGACTTTCGACCCACTGGCCTGTGATCTTCCTGCATTCGGCATCATAGTATGTGTTGTGTGAGTCTGAAGAGGAATTTATAGACTGGTACCAGACATATGGGCTAATATTGGACTTATGGACTTGATCTGGACTGGGCTGGGATGTTTTCTTAATCTTCCATTCCTCTTTAAATAAAGCTTTTTCTTGTACACATGTGAGTCTCTGGATCTGTTTCTCTAGTCTACCCGGACTGACACAGGGGAAGAGAAAAGGAAGAGTGAAGGATGAGACCTCAGGGGCCCAGTACTCCTGTCAGGTCTGGAAGCACCTTTTCCTCAGGCTCTGGAAGAAGCCCCAGCACCCAAGGTCATTATGGTCCCCAGAGCCCAGCAGATGGAAGACTTGGCCCAAACCACTGTCACCGAGTATGGCTGCTTCCCTCTTCAGCAAACCCCAAATGGCCCTCTCATACAACCTCCTCAGAGTCTTACCGGGCACTATCTCGCCGCCATAGCCCTGCATGACCAGGGAGAAGACCAGCTTCTGCTGGTGGGCACAGTCAATGCAGGCCTGCACGGCCTGCTGCAGGACCGCCGACGGTCTCTCAGGCCCGAAGTGTTCCGGGAGCTGCTGCACCTTCCTCCTCTCCAGGTACGGCCCTGCGTTGACTTGCTTGTTGATGTACAGGCAGACTGTGGAAACAGAGACCCGGATGTGCATCAGGCCATTGGGCTGCCCCAGGTGCCGCAGCTTCCATCACCCCCTACACCCTCGGCCTTGGGAAAAAAAGTGGTTTCCAACATAGGAAGCAAGAGGCAAAAGCACCTGACACCCCACCTTCTGGGCCTTTTCTTAAGGGAGCCTCCTGGGAGGCGACAGGGGGCCCACGCTGATACATGTTCTCAAACTTGAATGACAGGTTACAGAGGCTCGTGTGGGCTACTGTGCAGACATGATTATAGTGCCGGGCATGTGCACAGACACAATCTCCCGGCCCTCTAACGGCGCCACCAAGCACCTACTGTTTGCGATTTCTCTGGTCATCTGTGGAAGAAAACAAAAGTCAAGCTGCTGCTTATCCCTTGGAGACTCAGTTCAGTGCAGTTCAAAAGAGAATCCAGTCTTCTCACGCACTCCTTCCCAGACAATGACAGGAACTCTAAGCTCACAGCAAGGGGCACTCATTCCACTGCCCATTTTGAGGAATCTGATCAATGGTCTCCACACTTTAAAAACAATACACCCATCAGCAAACATGTCCCAAATGTATGATTTTTGTCTTAAAAATTAAAAACAAAAAATTTAATTTGCCCGTGAGTCAATTCCTATTCACCACGACCCTTTAGGTAGGACTTCCCCAGTGGGTGTCTAAGACTTAAACTCTTCATAGGAGTAGAAAGCCTCGTCTTTCTCCTGAGGAGCGGTTGGTGGTTTTGAAGTGCTGACCTTGTGGTTATCAGCCCAGCATGTAACCACCTGTTCTTGGCTTTATCAATACACCACGTACATTTAAAGGATATACTGTAGGGGTCGTAAATAAGATTTACCTTAGAAGTCAAAAAATTTAAAGGATGAAATAAGAATAGGTCTTAATAAGTCATATATTTGATAAAAACCCACGAGACAGAACTAAATGGGATTTCCCTGTTTATTCGGATCTTAAAAGTTTCTTGTCTTTGATAGGGTGCAGGCTTGCCTTAGAGGGAGCCAGTCAAGAGTCCCTGCTCTGACTGGCTTATGCATTAGACAGGTTAAGTCTACTTAGCCCGGCTAAGTCTACTTTCATGGGTTTGACTACGGCACGTCGATGACTCCGTTCATCTACCATTGCTCCGTCTAACACTGCCTGCACCAGGGTATGAGCACCTCACCTCAGAACGCACCTGTGCAAAGGATTGTGGGCCAGGGACTTTCCAATGCGACCAATAGTATTTTGAAAAAGGTTAAAGATTAACAGGAAAAGTACATTTAAAAAAAGAGCTCCTCTGAGCACTTTACTTGTTTTGCTCCTGGATGGCGTAAACAATGAATGCACTCAGCTACTCATGGAAAGGTGGATGGTTTGAACCCACTCAGCAGCACCTTGGAAGAAAGTCCTGGCAATCAATCCACTTCCTAAAGGTCAGAGTGATTGACAACCTTCCAGGGCACCATTCAACTTTGACACATATGGGGTCGCCATGGGTCACAATCAACTCAATGGCAAATGGTTTGCATACTTTATCTGATTCTCAAGATAAGCTTTTTAGTTGGGCATGATTATTGTGTTACTAATTAAGAAATAGAGTCTGACTCAGCCTGGCTAAGTCTATAAATGGTGGTGGAACAGGGATTTGTACCCAGGTCTCTCTGTGCTCTTTCCACCCTACAGGCTGTATGTCCTTCCATTCATCAGAGATGTTGAAGGAAATCACAATGAATAAGGGACCTTCATACCAAGCACTGGGGTAGGTCCTACAGAGAAAATTATGTTCTAGAGGAATCTGCCCATCCTATCTGCTGTCCAGCTAAAAGAAGCACCAAATTCTTCATGTGGTGTTTTCTCAGATGCAGCTCTATTGTTCTTAAAATAAGTGTTAGAAGGTGGGCTGCTTTGTTACCTGCTGGATCTTATTCTGCAGACTTACCTGTGAGAGGCTGTGGGGCTGCCAAGCTGGGTATGGTGGCTGCATCCTGAGGGATGTTGCTGAGGTCAGGCTCAGGGGTGCTCCATGGAGGGGAGAGGCCTAAAGGAGTCATGAGAACCCGAGGCTTCAGCTGTAAGAGAGAGTCCAGTGGGTCAGTGAAAACTGGATATGTTTTCTATATCTTTCCAGAATCTCTTCTTGCTATCAGTTAGTCATTGCTACTTCAGCATCCTTTCATGCCTCTCTATTGTGCAGCTTTAGGAACTGAACTTCAGATTCAAGGTGCTTATCTTTGGGGTCACACTCAGAAGTCAGTTCCACCCCCCAACTTTTGCAATGAAGTTACCCAAGAAATGACTATTTCAGCCAGTGGGTGTGGCAGCTTCAGAGGCAGGAATAGTTGAAACTCATAAGCCCTTGTAGTACAGGACGCAGGACAGGGAGCGGTGACCCGTTTGATCACCTATGGAGAAGGCTTCCCTGTGTGTACCTACAAACTGACCCTGAAGTTCTCAGAGTCGCTCTGCGTACTGACTTTTCTGCCTGCAAAGGCCACTGGATCATCATTCCTCCAAGGGGTTGACGATGTTCAGTGTTTATTCCCTGATACTGAGACTGTCAGAACCAGTAGATATAGAATGAGGGTATTTCCTGGTGTTAAAAACAGCTACCTAGAAGGATGCTGTAGACTGAATTCTGTCACCCCAAGCTATATATTGAATTCCTGGCCCCGGTACCTGTGGAAGCCCTGTGGAGCTCTGTTGTACTCAGGAAGACCTACAGTTGCCATGAGTTGAGAGAAACTCAGTGACCATTGAGTTCTGGTTTGAGTACCTGTTTAGAAACAAGGTTTTACTTTTGATTCGATCAGACCTGTGTACCGTGAGTCCTAAAGGGGATCACTGTTGAGTTGTAAAAGACCAGAGTGGACTCAGAGCGAAAAGCTATGCCACGTGAAGATCACCTATGAGCCAAAACATCAGGGAAGACTCCGGTCTACCAACAAGGCAGGATGCGGGCCAAGAGCCTGATTTGCACCTTTAACCTTCTAGACTGTGGAAAAACATAAATTGCTGTTCTTAAAAGCCATCCGCTGTGGTATCTGTGTTATGGAAGGTAACTAAGACAAAATTCTCTCTTGAGACCACAAATGAGGAACTGAAAGCTGATGTTCTGAAATAAGGTGAGGTCGGTGATATCAGCACGCCACTCCGTTTGCACCAAGACAGACACGATTCGAGTCTCAGCGATCTAAGTCAGTCATTTCCCCTCTACACCCCGGGCCTTGTCGAGACCCACTCCAGACTCGTAGGTCGGAATCTCTGCGGGTAGGACTCAGACATCAGTCTTTTTAAAAATTACCCAGGTGATTCCAACATACAGTCCAGATTGAGACCATTGCTCAAGACCAGTGCTTTTCGACTTTAATTGGCCATCAGTCACATGGGACTATTTTCTTAAAATGCAGATTCCATTTCAGCAGATCTGAGGTCGAGCCTGAGTTTACATTTCTACCAAGCTCCCAGGTGGTGGTGATCCTGCGGCTCCACAGTCTATACTTGGTGCAGCAAGGTTGGATGTGCTGCCATCAACCTATATGTAGCTGCCAATAATATCGTGAATCACTTCCTGAATCTTTATGACTGAATAATAAAAACAATCATGGAGAAATAGTTTTCCTATTTCTAGTCATCCAATCATTATATATTCATTCTTTTGTTCATTCAACAAATATGTCACGAGCACCAGATATTCTGCTAGCTGCTGAGACACACGAAGGAGCAAAGCAAAGGAAGCCTACGGTCACCAGACCAAAGGGAACAAAGACTAGAGCAGAATAAATGAAGGGTAAAACAATGGAAAGACTCAATGAGACTAGAAGTTGGTTCTTGGAGAGGATTCATACAACTGTCAATTTAACAACGGAAAAGAGACGCTCTGAATGACAAATAGATGCTGCTGCAGCAGAACCAACTGGAACGAAAATAACAGAACACTATGCAGAGCAGTAAAACCATAAAAACCTAGAAGAATCGGACACATTTTAGAAACACGTGACCTCCAAAAACTAACACAATCTTCTTCACAAAAGAAGAAATTGGATGTCATAAAAACATCCCCAATTTGGAAAGTCCTAACTCAGGGCGAATTCTACCAAACATGAGGAGAAGAGCTGAGGGCAATCTTACTCACGCCACTCAGAGCACATAAAGAGACGGAATATGCCTGTGTGCATCCTCTGATGCAGAATAACATAATACCAAACCGCGGTCAAGACGCTACAAAAGAAAACCATAGGCCAATATCCTTTATGAACTCATTGTGAGTCGCGGCTGAGTTGGTTCCAACTCAGAGAGACCCTATATAAAACACACCAAAACACTACCTAGCCCTTTGCCATCCTCACAAGCACTGGCATATTTGCGCCCATTGTTATAGTCACTGTGTCCGTTGATAGACTCAAAAGTTCTTGAAAAAATCCTATCCAAGGGAGTCCTACAGCATATAAAAATTTCATATATTATGACCAGTGGTATTCATGGCAGGTGTACAAGACTGGTTCAACATTAGGAAAAAACAAGTATTATAGCCCACCTCATAAAACAAAGAAAAATAACCATATGATCATATCAATCTATGTAGAAAAGGTATCTAGTAAAACCTGACATCTACTCTTTAAAAAAAAATCATTTTATTGGGGGCTCGTACAACTCTTATCACAATCCATACATACATCGATTGTGTCAATCACTGTTGTACAATTGTTGGCATCATCTGACATCTACTCTTGCTAAAATGTTCAGCAAAATAAGAATAGAAGAGAAATTCCTCAACACAATTAAAGACATGTATGCAAAACCAATAGCCAGCATTATTCTCAAGAGAAACTGAGTGGAACCAGACAAGGATGCCTTCATGTGTGGCTCCTACATAATACTGCACTGGAAACCCTAGCCAGAACAATAAGGCAAGAAAGGAAAGTAAAAGTCATTTAAATCAACAAAGAATGAAATGATCTCCATTTGCAAATTATATGATCCTATAAAGAGGAAAATACTAAAAGCTCAACAAGAAAATGACCAAAATAAAACAAAAGGCTTCAGGAAAGTAACAGGATACAAGATCAACACACACAAATTAGCTGGATTCCTCAGCACCAGTGTTTCCCAAAGTGGGCGATTCTGCACCCTGGGAGCAAAGGAACAATCCATGAGGGCTACAAAAGCAGATGTTCCAAAACTCCAATTCATTGCCATCAAGTCGTTGCTGGCTCTGAGCAACTCCACAGGACAGAGTAGAACTGCCCCTGTGGGCTTCCAAGACTGCAATTCTCTATGGGAGTAGAAAGTATCAGCCTTCTCCCAAGGAGTGGCTGGTGGTTTGAACTGCTGACTTTATCATTATCTGCCCAACATGTTACCCATTATGCAGGCAGGGCTCCTTTGTGTGGTAATAGGGAAGATACAAAATGCTTTACTTGCACAAATACCTAATAAGATAGTCTTTATACCTACAGAAATGTAGAGCTATGACTTCAGGGCTCAAGTACCCTTGGCCCTTCTAGCCCATTATTTCCCAAAGTGAGTGAGACCACTCCCTTGGAGGCACTCTAACAATCCAGGGAAACTGAAAAAACAGATAGCTACACTTTATCCGAGATTATGGGCTATAGTTAAAAAAAAATTTTTTTAATTGCCAAGAAGAATGCTGAATAATTTTTCTCCCTTGTAAAGTAGATGATAGGGTACATAATTTTGGGAACCTATACTCTACATTAACAAGGAAATCTGAAGAGCAATATCATTTATAATAGTTACCCAAAACATGAAGGACTTACCATACACTTTGCCATCAAGTCAATTCGGACTCATAGAAATCCTGTGAGACAGGGTAGAACTGCTCCCTAGATTTCTGAGATGTAAGTCTTGCCAGGAGCACGCAGCTTCATCTATCTCCCAAGGAGCACTCCAACACACACCCCCTCTGTGCCACCATGGCACCTCAAGAAAGATCAAATATTAGGAATAAATTCAGCCAGAGACACGAAAGGCCTAGACAAAGAAAACTACAAAACATTATTCCAAGAAGTCAAAAAAAACCTGTATCAGTAAAAGAATATACCATACTTATGGATAGGAAGACAGCATTGCGAAATGTCAATATTTTCCAAAGTGATCTACAAATATAATGTAATTCGAAGGCAGATTTCATCATCTCTCTTTAAAGAGATGGAAAAACTAATTACCAATTTTATATGAAAAGGAAAAATACTTTGGATAAATAAAGCATTATTTAAGAAAAAGAACAAAGTAGGAAGCCTCCCATTTCCCCATCGCAAAGGCTATTGCCTGCCCTCAAGTCAAGCCCAACTTGTCGTGGTTTTACATGACAAGGTAGAACTTGCCCCTTGGGGTTTCTGAGACTTTAAATCTCTTCAGGAGTGGGAGTCCTAATGGCATGTGGACCACCCACCAAGCAGCTAACCACAAGATGAGCAGTTTGAGCCTCCCAGCTGTTCCGTGGCAGAGGGGAGAGGTCTATCCGGTGAATGTTGATACCAGGAAGGGCTCCTTGCAGCATCCAACCACACAAGATCAAAATGGCAGCATCTGCCCAGGGATGAAGTGCAGAAGGCAGGGGCAGAAAAGAAGGATGAATGAAAATGGTAAACATAGGGAGAAAGCGGGGATTGCAATCAAAGGCACAAATCAAAAGATAGATGAGCATATATGAAATGGGAATGGAAACCAAGTTTGCTCTGTAAACTTTGACTCAAATCACAATAAAAAGTTTTTATAAGAAATTACATATATATATATATCTTCCCCCAAAAAAAACAAGCAAACAGATAAAAGCTACACTGATGTGAGGGGGATAGTGCATTTGGAGTTCATTCTACCAGGTCAGACTGTTAATCAAGCTTTCTATTTAGTGGTTCTGAAAAGATTGTGTAACTGTGTGTGGCAAAAAAGGCCTGATTTGTGGCAGACGGGGGACTGGTATTGCCACCACGACATGCACCTGCTCATGCAGCCAGTGTGCCAGTTTTTGGCCAAAAACAGCATGTCTCTCTTGCCCCAGGCACCTGACTCACCTGACCTCACTCTGTGTGACTTCTCTTTGTTTCCT